GGATGCGGGGAGTGGAGAGAACTGCAGCAGCTACGAGCAGCAAGGGAAGGAAACGGCCTCTGGGGCTGGGGACAGCCCATGGCACAGCGTGGGGCCAACCTGAGCTCTGTGCCATGGCTGATGGAGTCAAAGCAGGGCCAGCACCGCAGCCACCAGCGCCCTGTGCCTGCAGCACCCCTTGTCCTAGCTGCTGAGCTGGGAACTGCTTGCCCCTGCCTGATGCTTGGGTCCTGCTCCGGTCCTCCAGAGCAATGCCATCATCTGCCAGCATCCAGCATCATCAGCCTCATCCAGCATCCTCCATCAACTGCCGTCAGCCAGCCAGGGGCTGCCCCAGCAGGCAGGAGCTGCTCCTGAAGCTGCCTGAGCACCCGTGTGGAGCCACACGGCAGCTTCCATGGCCCCATGCGTGCAGTGTGATGGGGGGAGGCTGCAGCTCAGCGCCCAGGATGCAGCCAGCCCTGCGGTGATGCTGGCACAGACCAGGGCCCCAGCCATGGCCCCTGGGTTTCCTGGGCCCTTAAAGGTTGGTCACATCCATGCACAATGCTGCGGTGCTGCGCACAGGGTGAGTGTGCCATCCAGCGCAGCCTGCATCCCACATCGTGCGTCCTGCATCCATTCTGCATCCTGTATCCTGCTGGACAGCCCAGACCCCCCCATGCTGTGTGCTCTGGGGAGACCCCCCTGCAGTCCTGATCCAGCTCTGGGGCAGCAGCACAACAGGGATGAGCTTTAATGTCCCTTCCAATCCAACCCACCCCAGCACCCTATGAGCTCCCCCAGATCAGAAGGGAGATGTTTTTGCCCCCCCTCCCCTCCCAGCAGCACCCAACCCAAGCAGGACCCAGAGCAGACAGCCCCCCCCCCCCCCAGCAGTGCTCACAGCACCTAAATCAGATGTGCAAAGTCAAAACACGTCTGTGAACACAAACCAGGGTGATGGGGAAGTGTTTCCACTTGAGAGGGTCCTGATCCCCCCCCCAAGCCCTGCTCCCATCCATGCAGCTCAAGGGACCCTGAGCCCTGCTGGCTCCATACTGGATCTGCCAAACCCCATGAACAGATAAAGTGACCAAAGGAATAGAGTACAGAAAATTAACCCTTTTTATTGATGCATTGCAATTGTTCTACATTTTTACCATGTTATGTAGAAAATACTTAAAATACAAGCTACTTTGTAAAACCAAAGACAAACATTGAATCCAAAGATAAACTATGTTTTCACAATGGACCCTTTTCCCATATAGTTAGTATTAAATCTTTAAATAGCTATTTCTTCTGTTAAAATGATTTTTACATACCCCCTAAGTACATCAGCAATACAAACATAGCTCAGTAATTATCCGAAACTACCTGTACCTAGCGCCTTGTAAAAAGGAAGAGCACAACCATAAAAGAAAGTTAGGTTTTACACAGTTACTAGCATATCAAATACATTTAATAAAGTAGGAATTCCATTGCAATATCAAGAATTCAAGCAGAAATACTAACATTACATATAATGTACTGCTACATGTAGTGAGATAGATATATTTCAAGCTGAATCGGAAACCACACCTTATATAAAGTTTAGCAACAAACAACCATGTGGACATGCGGAACCATTCAGAAGTTGAAATCAAAAGAAAAGGAAGCAGGGCTGTGCCAATCCTGTCACTGAGAAGCAATTCAGCTTCATGTGCTAAAAGAAAACGCCGACTCGGAGGTAAATGACTGCATGCCATCAATGAGGGGCGAAGCAGGAACGCCTCCGAAGCTGCCTCTGCAGGGGCTATCGCAGCTCTGAATACAGGTCAGGGAATGCAACTGGGTTTACAGGTCAAGAACCACACAGCCAAGTCTAGATGGGACCAGGGTCACCATATCCTCAACAGGTGAATCCCAACCTGGTTTCAAGCACATTAAAGGGTTCCAATTTCTATCTGGAGATAGCACACTTCTTTAGACCATGAGGAGAGTCAATCCTTGAACTGAACCTGGAGGCTGGGTAGGTGAGGGTCTCCTTAGAGCTGACTACAGCACCCTTAAATTGGGCAACACATACCGAGCTCTCCGGGATCCAGAGGTGAAATCTGGCCCTCCTAGCATGGGGATTTTTGCCTGCCTGGTTTCTGCTGTGCATCCCAGAGGAATCGCGGGGGATTTTTACGGAGCCATTCCCAACTCGTCCTCCTTGCTCCCGTTCTTTTGGGAACTCGGGCAGCGGGAAAGGTGACACCGCGCTTTGTGAATACGTCTGATGGGGTTTAATTATGTCCTAGTGACTCCCAATGGTCATTTGAATTGCTTTTTGTCAGGGCAGCAGGCAAGTTCTTCTCAAAAGCATTAGGAGACTTTGCTAGAAGTCCTTTTTCTTTCCTGTTAGGACTTCATGGAAAACACTGTTTGTGAAACGGGGGATAACATTTTCCTGAAAGAGAGGAATTGCCTTTGGATGGAAAGGCACAACTCTGTACCCCAGAGGTATCTCAAGGCAAGTACTGAACACAAGCAATGTACTATGGGAAAAAGTAAGAAAGTGCCTACAGCAACAGAGAGCATCGTTTACACCAGGGACATGGCATAGCAAGATCGGCTGGTTATCCGCACGCTTACAAGGGCTCCGACTGAAAATACACTGAACGACGTCGCCAATGCTCCTGTCCAGCTCCAAAGTCCTCGATCCTTCCATCCGAGGAGATGCCAAGCCTTGAGCAGTTCGATTCCAGGTCAGCCCAGACTCTCTCCTATCAATAATGCGGAATTCCAGAGGTGGCCTTTGCACTTCTTGGCACTCGGAGAACTGGCCTCTTTCCCACCGGGACGGAACAGAAACTGGGATTCACGGCTCCCAAAACCTCTTATTGCTGCAGTAACACGACCGCTCGAGCCAGTTGATCATCCACTTGGACACGGTACTTAACCTACGTACTGAGGATGGAAGTGAGCATTTCCTCTGCACACTGACTAGGGCTACAGCTGACAAACCTTCCCAACAACTCCACATTAGCAGTAGCATTATAAAACTTTTAATGGTATTATGTGCTTTACAGCAGGCTCTCTTTGGTATAAATAATCCTATCACCAAGCTAGCAATATTTTACAAGAACTGTCTGCTCTTAACGTGGGGGAAGGTAACGCCATACTAACCTAAGAGAAAAAGTGATTGCACAGATTTAATCACTTGGGCAATATTAGACTAAACATTCCAATGCATTCCCAGCACTACCTTATTCGAAATGCACTGACAGACATTTAACAGTATATGTGCCATTGGCAAGGAAAAGCTTTAAGGAAACATCGCTTCACTCCAAACAAAAATGTAGCTTTTTTTTTTCCTTTTTTCCTGTTTTTTTTAATGATATTAGCATTAAAACTGAGAACAATGCACCTATGCAACATACTGCTGTTCTTGCTGTGATAAGCTTAGTGAATTGCTTCAATTCGACGGGGGCTTGCTGGTCCCTCATAAGGCAAGCTCACTGTAAACTCTAGTCACACTACATCATCATTTAAGGCACTACAATAAGGGGACACACCAAACAACTCTTCATCACACATACCTGTGCAAAACAAATCAGAAGGTATCCTTGTCTCTCATGAAGCTCTACTCCTCTCTCAGTGCTACAGTGATGAGCTCTAACCATTGCATTATATCACATACATTCCAACATGAATCAATTCATTTTGGTTTAAATACAAAGGATACATCAAACTCCATCCCCAGGAACGTTTAAGAATTAGACAAACACTAAGTACAGAATTCAAGTATAATCACTACACATTTTGATTACAAAGACAGAACATTTGGGGTTAGCAGGAAGTTTTGCTCGTTATATTTTTCTAATCAATATGTACATATTTCATTTTATGTAAAATATTAAAACACCACCAATACAAAACTTCTAAAATAGTTTTAAATTCAGTAATAAACTTTAAAATCTGGATTTTTTTCCTTTTTTTTTTCCTTTTTCTTTCTCTCTTTTTTGTGTTTTTTTGCAATTCCTACATGCATGTACTGTATACAAGTCTTATTAAGAGTGCTTTAAAGTAGCTGTTGACATATCCAGGAGTATAAAAAGCTGTACACATCAATACAGTGATGTTTCGGTGCATGTCAAATTCAACTCCCTCCTCAACGCATCACGCGAGGCTTAAGAAAAACAGAACAAAGCAAAGCCCTGTGCTTCTGTGAAGGAATCCAGCTCCAGTCTAGGGCCAGCATCTCCTAAGTTAAGAGAAACCCAAGTTTAGAGCCGTGCTGCGCTGTTCGGTCTCGGCTGAAGATGGCAGCATCCCGACAAAGCTGCTGCGTTCTGTTACACAGTGAGAGCTTGCATACAGGTTGAGAAACAGAATCGTGTGATGAAGGCAATGAGAATGCAGCCGGGTTTATGGAGACACCTTAATCGTCAAGAACACAAAAGGGGTTTCAGAGTTTACATGGACTCCTGAATATGTAACATCGCTACAGGAGGCAGCTGCCTTGACCGGTCCTTAAACAAAGCAGAGCGGTAAACAAAACACATTGACAGGAACACGGAAATGGCTTTTGCAGAACCAAGGATGGTGTGAGAGACAGCGTGAATGAGAGAACAAACGTTAAAACGGCGACGCTTGGCTTTCAAACTGCTCCGGCACATCAACGTGCGCGGCAGTCTGAGTGCAACGATGGGTTTGTGTTAAGCTGCTAAGATATAACCTGTTAAAAATCGTCCTCAGGGTCTGTCTGCCGGGACATGGATGTTCTCTGCCCTTCGGAGTCGCGCAACACAACAACTTTATGTAAATGGGACCACGAAGCTTTTAAAAGCATCTATTAAAATAAAAGTAAATAAAAGCTTAAAAGCTGCGTGTTAGTGTTAGCAATACTGAATTAGGGTTGGTAACACTAACCAAGTCCGCTAACGCTAACGGTCTGGTGACAAAGCATGCTGTTCAGTCAGGGACTGAACTCGCTAGAGCTGGGTTTTGAACAACACACACGCAAACCAAAGAAGGAACAAAACACGGAGAAACGAGAAATAAAAAGCCAGACAGCCATTACCAGGTTCATCAAAATTTCTTCTGCAACACCCCCAGCCCATTGCTTCTGGGGAACTACAAGTATGAGTACTGGTTGATCTTCGTTGGGCTCAGCGGATATCCAGTGTAAATAGTAGATCCTCTGGAAGCACCAATATAGGACTGGGGAGCAAATTGGGGTTGGTACTGGGCAGGTGGAACATTTGCAGACGTCAGCAGGCTCGGACCAACGCTCACAGGGACCTGGTGGACAAGCGTGCTGGGATGGGCAGCGTATGTGGTGTGCCGTGAGGAGCCCTGAGGAGAGAAGAGGTGGGCAATGGAGGTGGTGGAACCCAGGGTTGCAGCAGTGGTTGGAGCATAAGTGTACATATGTGGCTGGCTGGACAGATGTGCACTTGCTGTTGCTGCTGCAAGGTGGGGATGCACTGGGCTGCTGTGCTGGAACGCATAGGGAGCCTGAGAAATAGTCGATGCAAGGGGTGCCACATAAGCTTGCTGCCTACGTGGGACAGCATTTCCACTTCTCTCCTGGGAGGCCAGCACTGTTGTTTGCTGGTTCTGTAAGGAGAAGGAAAAATAAGGTTAGTGGCTCAGAAGGTGAGCATGGAAGGGTCAGCCAGAGCCTTCTGATCAACACCTCTGATCTAGCTGCAAGACTGATGCTTCTGAGGATCCCCCCTTCCCAGCTCTGCAAACCCCTCAGATTTGAGAAGGGTTACTGCAGCTTCTCCAAGACAAAGGTTACACTTCTCCTCTACAACGGGATCAAACTGCCATATCTGGGGTACAGCACAACACAGCTGTACAAGCACAGGCAGGTTCTAAGACTGACCCAGCCCTTGAGCTCCTCACACATCCCTTCTTCGGCACCTCAGCGTGAGTGCAGTCATTTTAGTGCAAAGCCCATCTTGCTCCCATACCATAACACTTCCTCTCTTCTAAATGGCTACTGCAGTTTGACTCAAAAGATCAAGAGGAGTGACACAAACTGAACTGAAACTAATCTCAAAGTTTCAAGGGAAGTCAGGTGCTAGTTGTTAGTTTGAGACACAAGGTCCAGCCTTAATAAAAGAATTCTTTGCCTTGAGAAACTTCACCTATACCCCCTAAAGACTTTACCTTGCACACCTACAAGACAGCATCAGCTTCAGGGAACTGTTCCCCTCAGTTCTTTGAAGCTGATTCTCCCTGCCATACAGCACAGTGTTTCTAAAGCATCATGTTCAAAGGTCAGCAGAAGTCACACGGTGCTTACCTGGCTGAGATTGAGAGGCTGCACACCGTTTGTTACCACGCGATGTGAGCGGTACCCAGTAGGTGTTATACAGCATCCTGATGATTGCCCGCTCATGGAGGCCACTGGCTTGGTCTTACTGGTACTGCTCAGGATGCCTGAAAGATTACAAAAGCTTAGTCCATTCTTCCCTCTTAAGTGCTGTGCCCTGTCTAACCAGCTTAGGCAACCAAAGAACATAATGGGACTATCCTCGTAACAAAGCCTTTCCTTCAATTATGATTTAAAAATCTGACCATACAAGAAATAAGCAGGAATATTTACATGTCTTTCTAAATGTGAAAAGCCAAACATATGTAAAAGGGAAATCTATCAATGAAACTGAAAACAGACCAAGGCTTGCACTCTCAGAACAGCAGCTGTGAAACCTAAAGCTGCTGAAGACCCAACGCAGATAGTCTAAAACTTCAAGGACAAAGGTGGCAGGGATAATGCAGCAGCTGAGCCATGGCAAAAACCTACCTGACACTTGGGTAGCTACGACGCAGTCACTGAGCTGTGTCTTCAGTGGTGGCACAATGATATTCCGAGAGCTGGAGCTGTCAGCTGCCTCTCTAGTGGGTAGCTCCAGGGCACCGCCTGTGCTCTCCAGAGAGGCAAGTGTGTCTATGGCATAAGGGCTGTTCAGGGAGGAGTCAGAATCAGGGGAGTCATTAACAGTAACGTAGCTGATGACATTGGACCTCTGCTTCATGCTCAAACTGCAGGAAAGAAAACAAAAACCAGTCAAATAAAAAACAGATGGGAAATATTCTAGCTTTTCCCACAAGATACAGGAAATCTCCCTCTGGGATGTCATACCCTCCCTCCTTGTCAGCTGGAATTCTGATTAACTAGAGACCCAAAGAGCACAGCAAACATGACACAGACTTCTCTGTCTCAGGCAGTGCTTCTTAGCCTGGAGCCAGGGCTTTGCATGGAGTGTTTTCCACAATCCTTGATGCCTGGGTTCAGACCAGGACAAATCAGTACTGGCTGCTTAAAGAGACTTCCTACCTGGCAGGTTTGTACTTGCTGTCCTCTTCTTCATCAGTGTCACTGCGAATGGTGATGACACTGACAGGCGGGCTTGGAGTGTCTGGGATCACGATGGGCTGGTGCTGCTCTGGCACTAGGATGAGCACATTGGAAGAGGAGGAGGTGGAGCGCAGAGGACTGCTGCCAATGAGCGAGTAAACCTGGGAGGGCACAGTCTCTACGGTTGAGCTGGGCCTGAAGGAAAACCAGAGCAACATTCAGCTACATGTGGGCAGGCTGGGACAAACCAGCACTGAGAACAGGCAGGCTCCGGCAGGCTGGAGCACACATACAAGAAGAAACATCTTGAAAAGCACAAAGAGAACCTTAGTACACTCATACAGGAGAGTTGGTCCAACTCCAGGGACCAACACAGTGATGCTCTGAAGAGCATCATCCAAACACTGCCAGAAACCTGCCACCCCTTGTTCAACAGATGCCAACTGTATCACTTGTATTGCTATGGCACCAACACACCCCCAGTGTGTAAGAAACTCCCCTTTGATCAGTACAGTAAAGCACTTGGTCAACTACGTTCCTTGCACTCTCACGGAAGTTGGTACCATTTATATCACTGATTACAGTACAGACACTTTTTCCACCACATCTTTAAAAGCAACTATAGCACATTAAAAGTTATACGATTAGAGGATGCCTTTGTGATCAGAAGATCAGTTTTTCACATCACAAAGGCAACCTCCACTGTCCTGGGTTCAGATGTAACAGTTATGTTTCTCCTTCCTAGTATGGGGTGCACTGCTGTGCTCTGGCTTTACTCTGAGCACAATGCTGGTAACACACCAATGGTTTAGCTGTTGCTCAGTACCACCTACCCTGATCAACGACTCTGCGATCTCTCATGCTCTGCCAGTGAGGGGCACAAGAAGCTGGGAGGGAGAGACAGGACCCCTGACCCTAACTAGCCAGAGGGGTATTCCATATCTCATATGATATCCATATCATATCCATATGCCCAGCATAGAAAACTGGGGGGAGTGACCTGGAAGGCCCAGATCACTTGCTCGGGTTGGGTCGGGTATCAGTCAGTGGGTGGTGAGCAATTGTATTGGGCATCACTTGGGTTATTGGTTTTATTTTCTTTCCTTCCATTTTATATTCTCTCCCCTTATTATTTCCCTTAGCATCATTATTGTTAGTGGTGGCGGTAGCAGTTTGTATTATACTTTAGTTACTGGACTGTTCTTATCTCAGCCCATGGGATTTGCATTCTTTTCATCCTCCTCCCCATCCATGCCAGGAGCTGGGGGGGAAAAAAGGAGGAGGAGTGAGCAAGTACCTGTATGGCTCTGAGTTACCAGCTGGGCTTAAACCACGACATCCACAAATACACCCACATCTTTCTAGGACTGGAAAAGGAAGCCTTACTTGGCCGCGCTTGGTGCTGGCTGCTTGTTCTTCTTTGCTGGAGCATTGCTGCTCTGCTGCTGCCTAACAACATGAGTAACTCCAACGCTCAGAGGCTGTGCTGTGGCTAATGTCACATGGTTGGTCAGTAGCGATGGCTGCTGCATGAGAGTGCTGTACTGATTTCCATGGGAATGCGCATTCCTGGAGTGGGAAAAAAAACAAGAACAACCCCAGATTCCATGACTACACTGCAGGAAGAGCAAGCTGCACCGAGCCCCTGCACGACTCGGAAGGGAAGGGAGGAATTCTGTGCTATCCCAGGACACCACGTATTCCCGTTTGGCACAGAATTGAACCCTGTGCGTTCCCTACCTCCAGTCAGCCAACTGCTGGCTGCCGCTGATGGTCTCCGGAATCACGGCCGCTGGCTGAACGGAGTTGTGCAAAGCAACCCCTGGGAGCTGCTGCCAGGTGGAAGGAAGCAGAATCTGCTGGGTTCCCCCAGGCCAGGCCTGCTGCAAGACAACAAAGAAGACACACGGGTTCACTAGACTTCAGCTCCGACTGGGAGGAAGAGATGTGTTCCAAGCAATAAACACACTCGTGTAGATTGTTCGCTTGCAGAGACAATGGCACGACACTTGCGCTCTCTCAAAAGGTCTCAGTACAGCAAGAGACCAAGAAAACCAGAGCAAGCAGCTTCCCCTAATGCTTTGCTAAGCTTTTGTATCACAGATGTCACCTGGGGAAAAGCGGGTTAACATTGGGCAGAATACTGCACAATGCAGCCATATGTTGTACTGTCAGATGCAGCGCGAGGACTCGGGCCTTCTGCATGTGAGTTTACACGTGCTGCTCTGCAGAAGGATTCCAAAATACGAAACCAATTTGGTCCTTTCTTGGTTTTCTGCCTTAGAGGGCTCACACTGAGAGAGCTGAGGCAGTGGTGGTACCTGGGAATGCACCCCGCTTCAACCGAAGTATTTAATCGAAAGGGATGTATGTGGAAGATGCTGTTGATTCATCAATATTATCAATGTTCCAGTCCAAATTGACAAAAAGCAGTTTTTTTTCAGGGGGGGAAACGACACCAAACCCAAAACCCCAAGTAAATTTGGCAGTTCTATGATTTGGAAGCTCTACGGCTCTCTGTCTTGCAGTTTCCGCTGCAAACCCATAAACCTGCTGCTTTAAATGAAGTACTTCTGCAAGTAACAGATCCACTTACTACAAATACCAGTTCCAAACAAGAAGCCTTCAAAGCAGAGAGCTGCTAAAACCTCTGCCAATGTAAGCGGAATAATAATAATAACAATAATAACCACATTAAAAATAAAGAGAAATATGTTAAAGTCACACCATGCGTCTTTCCAAAAGCCAACACCTGCACAAGACAAAGCAGAGAGTTTAATACAGCAAGATATAAATTCCCAATGAGAGGCAGAAATCGGGCCTTCCAAGCGACGAACTGCTTTGACAGAGGAAGGACAAAAATACGCAAAGCTTAGCAAATGGCTAATGCAAACTCAGGGGAAGCAGCGAGGGAGAAGGGTCGGAAGCACTAAAGGTGAGCAAAATCACGCCAAAGGCTCCCAGAATCCAAACAGAAATAGGAAAGTCCTCCAGAGAAACTCAGAATCCAGGCTCATAGTCTGGAGAGAGCTGGCTCTGATCTCCACTGCTGTACAGGGGAGTTGAATGCCAAGTCCACTGCACACACACACGGGAGAATAGAATTTGCCTGTTGAATCAGAGGCCCAAATACGCTGTTGATAACATCACTAACAAGTCACTTGTGTCCCAAGCTCTGCTACGGTCACCCCTTGCTGTTTACAGAGCCCAGACTGCAGCCTTTTCAGCAGTCAAAATTCACAAGGAGGAAAAGAGAGCCAGCCCTGGGTCTGTTCAGCTCAGAGCTGTGACCCGGGAGAATGCCACTCTCCTGCCTTCCCATCCTCAGCAACAGGGAGCAGTTAAGTTGGTTCACAAGAACTCAAACGAGTGGGTTTTCATTTCAATGCAGGTATGACTCAAGCAAATCCCACTTCAGCAGATGTCTCCCTCTTGGAAGAAAATGACACTCAAACTACTACTGAAAGCCACAAAAAACAACATGGGTCACATAATGGAATGTGCTTTGAAAGACATGTGAGGATACCAGCACTTAAGTGCACTGCAATGTTTTCATAAGCTTCACTTATCTGATTCTGGAGTTTGACAATGACTTCTTTGTGGCACTTGCAAAGTTGTTCTGATGCAGGTGCCAAATGAATACAGAAGAGGACAATTTTGGATACACACACTTCTTAAAGATGTGTTTCTTCTCTTTCCCCCAACCTTTTAAGAAATTGTTCCAAATAGCCTAAAAGCTTGCTGTGCCACTTTGGATACTAGAGCTCACCTTTAATTTCAACCAAGAAATACATATGAACTGAAAGCATCTGTGGAGAATAGTATCTTTATCTGGATGAAGCAAGCTACCTGCGATTGGCTATAAATAACAAAAGGCCAGAAAATTACTGTCAATGTTCAACAGAAGCTCAGAGAAATGGACTGCTGAAGCAATACATTAAAGAATTTGCTGTCATTATAGAGTTTTTAGCCTGTGCTTAATGACCTGAAACGTTTCTACATGCAAAGCAGCTTTACAGATCTTGAAAACAAAATAAGTAGCTAACTTGCCAAGTAGTTCAAATTCTGGCCATCCAGGTACCTGTAGCAGAGTCAAGCTAAAGGCTGATTCCTTTGTATTCAACAATCAAAAGACAAAGATAGGAGAGTAAGCGAAGAACAAGAACAATTGTAACTCTTCTACAGTATAGCTTAGAAGAGCTTTATAATGCTAAGCTAGCAAAAGCAATTGTCAATGGATCTGGATTCTTTACAGAGCCACACTAAACGTCAGAGTCAGACAGTGCTTCAGCAATGTTGGGGAGGAAAACAACAAGACATTAAGATGTAGCAAGAACACAGCCACAAGATGGCACATGCTTCCATGCCCTCTGCAAGTCGAAGTTAAAACAAAAACTCAGTTAGTGAACACAATCAAGGGAGGCAATTACCAGTACTGCAGCCGTCTGTTCTACTAGCGCTGGCCGGCCGGCTGCGCAGTTCAGAGTAAAGGGGACCGCATACTGCGGCGTGATGGTGGCTACTTGAGGATGAAGAGTTGCTACCATTAGTGGTGTACAGCTTCCCTGCAATGTAGATCAGGCAGTGAGTGAAACACACGTACTGAGGCAGGATTAAGCGGGTTCAGCAATAGGGCCAGAGAAGGTTTCACCTCACTGGCATTCTATGGGGCTTGAGCAGGCTCCAGAATTAATGGATGCAGTGGAACCAACACCCAGACTCTCTGGGCATGTTTCCTCTAAGCACTTACATGTCCCTGGGGGGGGAACACAAGGAACAGGGAATTTGGGAACAGGATTTCTCCGATGACACAGTTAAAAAGTAAAGATAGTGTTCAGCTATTAACATTTTGCTGGGTCCCAGAGAGCAAGTTACACTCTGTGCACTGCACTAGCCATAACACAAACCGCACCCCTGGCAGGACACATTTACTATCATCCCTCCAAATTCACAATTCACATACAGTACTTGTGGGAAAATATAAGCTAAGGAATTTAACAGAAGGCACAACAGGTCTTTTGCATCATGAAAGAGCAAAGTTATCTGCAATGAAACTACCAAGACACATATTAGTATATCAAATGTCTAATTAAAACTAGATTCTTAGCATTCAATTTGCAGGCTCAGGAAAAGCAGGGTTTGGATTCAGATGGGCCTCCTTCAAGTGTATTCTGCTTTTTGGGTACCATTACCTGTATTATTACGCTAAACAAACCAGAGATCACAGAATGACACCAAAATCATTTGGACTGAACAATCTAAAACTTACTCCTCTGCAAGTAGGTCAGTAAGCACAATACACTGCCTGGAGAGTAAAACTAATGAAGTCTGTGTTAATGTCAGCAGGAGCTAAACCTATGCAGATAAATAAAACGTGCACTTCAATATAAAGGCAATTACAATTTGTCACTGAATAAAACCTGGGACTCACTGGGCACTCCCTATATATTAAAGCAGTACTTTTGGCATATAAAATTGCTTTAATTTACAACACATCACTGATGTGAAAACAGCATTTTCTTGTAATTATTTGTGCATTTTCCTATCCCATATTGTTTAAACTGTAAACAGAAACAGGTATGAAACAGCTACACGAAGTCACATTAACAATGAGGAGGAGCCAAAAATCATTTTGCTGATTTGAAGATGACATTTGAACAGCAGCCTGTTTTCAGCTGCTGAAAACTCCACACTTATTCTCATTATTAAATCAAGCTCCTAAAATAGATTCTATAAAATAAATTTGACTTTCAATATTTCAGGAAAAAAACCACCAAAACGCTGTCTTAGAATTGACCTACACTTAACCTGTTGGAGTGTTCTGAGGACCCCCTGCATTCATCCCAGCACCAAGGGAGCAGCCAGGTTCTCCTGGATGGTGGGAGGAATTGCAGTGAACTTTATGGGGTTTGGTTGGTTGGGTTTTTACCTGTGTGAGAACACCAGACTGGATCTGCAGTGGCTGTGCTGCAGGTGCTTGCGGTACAATTGGGACAGCATTCTCCATCCTTACTGGGAAGCCAGAATGCTTTGTAGTTGCCTGAAGTCCAGCTGTGGAGGACAAGAACACATCAGTGCTGAGCAGCTTTATTATTTCTTTTTAGTTTCTTTCCAAAATCAAATCCCTACCAGACAAGGGTGGAAGACAGGGTCAGAGGAAGAGAAGGAAAAGCCATTCCCTTTGACAAAAGCATACTAATAAAAGCCCAGCTGAAGTAAATACCTCTACAGTCCCAGTATGCCAATGCACAAGTATGGACAACCAGTCCTCAAAAGCTTGGCTCTAGCCATATCCATAGTCTTGCCTTCAGGAACACAGATACCTAATGCTATGTTCCTTGAGACCAAGTTCAAACCTTACACTATCAGTGATCAGTTCTCATGTCCTATAAACCCCTCCATAATAACACAATGCAGATCTAAGCATAAATACAGAACTTTCAGGACTCGGCTAGGCTTTGCTAACCTCACTTATCTGCAACCTGCAACAATGTGTTGCTAGCAAACTACACCACTGCACGGGTGCTTGTGAACTGAGATTCAACAGGAGATATTCACTCCTGACACACAACGCTTTCCTATATTCACATAGCTCTGGCTCCTCTCTTCACTGCTTTCTGTGGAATGCTGCTGTGTTCAGTTTGGGGGGAAAAACTGGTTCAGCGACCAGATGAAGACTGCAGCCTAGGCAGGCAAGATACTGTCACCTGCTCAAGCATGACCTGGAAGAGAACTGAATTGTCTACACACGCCTGACCTGATTCTGCACTTACATTTGAGGCATTCACAGGGCAGTCTGCTGTACTTTATCCATCCAGTACAAATTAAACCTTCCAATTCCTACTTAACAGTCTCACACAAAGGGTTTTTTCCACTTACTTTGAAAAGCAGGGGGACAAACAATGAACGTTTGCTGGAATGGGTCAGTCTGCGTGCAGATCTGGGTGGTTCCAGGTTGCAGGGAAACACTCTGTTGTGCTACTCCTGCAACTGGTGCTGCAGATGATGGATACAGAGCAGACTGATAGTTGAGCAGTGACACATCCGAGTTTGCCAGGGAAAGAGTAGCAGCTGCAGTAGAGTTGGAAGCCAATACGCTGGCCTAGGAATAAAAAAAGGAAAAGAAAACATTGGATTCATCATTTCTACTTGTTATAAAACAAACAACAGGAACCATCACTACTGCATCATGAACCAAGCACCAGGAAAAGGATTCAGGTAAAAGGCACAAGACAACATAGGGGAAAAAACATGAATTGCACCAACTTTACTTACACTGCTGAACTGACAGGCAAATGGGATCAAATGGAAGAAACAGACTGCCTTGGCCTGAGGTTTGGAAAACTAAAATTCAAGACTACAAATTCTAGACACCAATTTAGTGTTTTGCAGGATTTGGCCTGAAAGCATGGAATTAGACTATGCCGTTTCTTTGATTAGTATAAAATGGCTCAAAGATCCATACCTGGTTGTGGACTGTATTGAGCTGGTTGTTAAAGCTCATTGTGAGATTTGTGCTTGTATTAGGAGCAACATGAGTTGTGAATGGGCTCTTAATCTGGTTCACTGTATCGTACATATTAACTCTTCTCTTGCAGATCTCCATATTCTGGAAGCAGGATTTCACACTGAAACAGAATGATAGGAGGACAGTATTAGATATGTAAAAACAGGCCAAGAGAGACACGAGACATTCCCAGCCTAATGCATGTGCCTTTAGGTTTAGTTTCTGGGGGTAACAAAGAATGTCCTAAACCACAAAAAGGAATCTTATGAACATTCCACTCCTTATCCATGCCAGTGCTTTTTTCAGATCAGCCAGAAACTGCAGAAAACAGCACTGACAGAAAGCAGAAAAGAAATCTAAGGGAACTTACTGATTACTGTGTGGGAAATCCAGGAGATGGGCCATTGTAACAAAATTATGGTTCAAAGTCTTCAGTGGAGTAATTCTCTTATCTGCATCAATTGTCAACATTTTCTTCAACAAATCAATGTATTCCCTTCGGTCAGCCTTCTCTGCCAACATGTCAGTTCCTTCTAAGTCTGTAGACATATTCACCTTGAAAATAAGATGAGAGCAGGTCACACCAACATCAAATTAACTGCTACCCAAGGATTTGGTAACTTCACATCACACTAATATTTATGAAGCATTTCTATCTCTTAGCCAGCATATCAGTTTTAGGTAGCACAGCTCTACCAACCAACCTTTCTCTTGCTCATCCTATAAAAGGAGTCAAACTTAATGCATGGAATTCTCATCTTAATGTGAAGTTGGTCTGTTCAATAGATAGCAACCAGGACTCCTTCTCCACTGCCTGGCAATATGCCCCTCTTTCTATGGGCAGGGCTGTAAGGGGCTAGTGAATCAGAATGACAAGATTCTGCATTCTCTGCACAGATGTAATTGCTACAAAAGCAACCGAAAACTGAGACCAACACATTTAAGATTCAAGGCCTCGTGTCTTTAATACAGTGACTTCTGATGCAAACTGGCACCACGGCAAACCTGCATTGGTGTTCTCAACAGCAGCTGGAACAGGACAGCTCCGGCACAGAAGACTCATTTTTAGATCCCAATGATGTATGCAATTGATATGACAGTATCTGTGTGCTACAAGACCTCCACCTACCTGCGCCATATCATCCAAACAGTTGAATATATATTTCCGAGCTTCTTTTGATTTTATTGCTGTCTCCAACTCATGTTCTTCCGGGGTCTATAAAAGAAAGCATTTGTTAATATAAACTGAAACACTGCGTATCGATGAAGAGAAAGCTGCAAGTAAAGAGCAAAGCCAGGGGACCTTTTGCCTGCATTAAGATAAATCACGTGCCAGGAGGCCAAACCAAACCAGCCCTGGGTTCTCATTTCCTCATCTGGAAAGATCATTCACTGCAAAGCTGACAGTGCAGTAGCCAGAAGAACTGAAGATTTCTGACTTAGGAAGAGAAGAAGCTATAAGTATTTTAAACCCTCTTCCTTTTGCTGCTCAGCTTTCAAGGCAAACCAAGCATATATCTGATTTTTCTCCTGCCCTCTGCCAGTACACAAATAGATTTCTGTTAAAGTAAGACCACCATGAAAAACTCTGTATTTTACTCTCTGTATTGTTAGGAGATGACAACAAGATGACATACTTCACCAAGAATGAGCAGGCCATAATAAGTAACCATTATCTCAATTACTTTAACACCCACTCTTTGCTGGTACTATCATGCACAGCTGCTATTGTTAGACCAGTACCAGGTCTGTAGTCTCTAAAATGAAACACCCAGATCAGCTGTACTGGAACAGCGTTTCAAATCCAATCTCCACTCAGACTGATTTCATGGCACACTAAACCTTGGTGTGAATTGAAATCAAGTCCTCGACGAACAGACCAGAATCAGCGATGCGAAGCACACAAACCTTTAGCCTCCACAGTGGGTATCCCAAATTCGGATCTCTGTTAAAGAACCTGCTTGTTTTCGTTCCTGCACTGAGAAGATACTCCGCTGGCAAGCCTTGAGTCTGTGAAATATAACGGATCTAGGAAAGAAGATTGCAAGAATGAGGACTCCCCATAGAAAGAACTTGGACCCAACAGAGCAACCATCAGCTGGATTTGTTCACAGCAAACACGGAATTACCTGTAAAGAAAGAATACCCAAGAAACCGAAACTACAAAATCAAAGGGACTATCTCAAGCCTTTATAGGGACACTTAACTTTTTGAATCGTATTATATGCAGAAATTTTAGGTTTTGAATACATCTTTCTTATTTTTTGCCCGAGTATATGCGAGCTGTAAGCTTTAGACTTTACAAGACTCCAAGCTTTGGAGACCTGGAGAAAATAACACCAATAGGCTTTTGCATCAGCAATGTAAAAAGCACACATTTTGAGAGAAAATACCACAGCAGTTATCATGTACGTGTATATAATTAAAGGCATAAGTATCCAAGCAACATTGCTGTGACTGGCTACAGAGAGCCTAGGCACACGATTCCAGGATAATGTCAGGGTAAAGCTCTCACTGTCCAAGCCAAGACCAAACCTTCAGCGCAATCAGATTCTTCTGGCCTCAAAACCATTTAGTAGAGCTGATACGTAGCCAAAAAATGGCTCAGAGCTCTGGAAAATGCCCCTGAGTATTTGTGACAGCATCAATAAGACCCCGGTAAAGAGTTTCCAAAGACAAAGGTATGCCCAAAAGGAAAGAAAATAGCCATTATGAAAAAGCATAATAATCAGCTTTCTGAAACATTCCAAATGTTGCCCAATTTCTCATGGTATTTGCTTTCCAAGATGTCACTTTTCTCACTGAACATTGCCTTTGTCACAACTATCCACTCAAAGGAGTCTATTTAAAAGTCTAAGGGACCCCCCCCCCAATAACCATCAGTTACAGGTCCTTTAGCACGTCTCATTTCTTCTTTGCAAATCTGCTATTCCACTGCATCAAAACCAGCTGAAAATCACAGGGCACTTAACTCACGGTTATGACTAGTGAGCCACATGAATTCATGGACTCATTTTCTGCCAGTGTTGATCTGAAGCATCTGCAGGTGACTACCTTTTATACAGCTCAGCTAAGAGGTTTGTTAGTTTTGGAATATATAACTCTTCAGCTGTGCAAAGTGTGTTTAAAATAGGGATTGTGAATCCCAGCCCAGCCCATGGATGGGTTTCATTCCATTCCTGGAGAAGTCCATTCACAACTTCTGCCTGAACTTCCACTTGCCCCTGCAGAACCTCATGGAAGCAAATCACCCTCAGTTTTCAAGGGCAATTCAAGTCATCAAAAGCAAGGACATGAAGTCACACCTCAGCCTGCCTCAAAGGACTGCAAAATCCTGGCTATTAAGCAATGGAAAAAGCACCTCCTCCCCACCCACCTCCATGACTAGATAAGCTTCTCAGAATTACACACAACTCTGTGTGCAAGGAAACCACCATGCCCTACCTCAGGTTTTTTCTAACTCATTCTGCTTATTAAGGTACCACTGTGTTTCCTTTGGAAATCTGCAGTGCTGGGAAGACAGAACCCAAGTTCTCAACCTTACTAAGTTCTAATGTGTTTTATCACAACTATACCAAGCACTTTAATAAGACACCACCATAAAAACCAGAGTGGAAAACTTACCCTCCAAAAACTTGTCATATAGGCTTCGTTGCCCTTTTAAAGGCAACTGACTAGCCCAGGTAATAATGCTATGTACCCATGGAAAGACCTAATTAGTTAAAGATGCCCTTTCAGACTCTTGCCCTTTTATTTCAGAGACAGCTTGGAGCTCACACTTAGCATTAAAGATGAGGTCTGCTGTAGGTATTAACAGAACAGGAATGATTGGCTTGCTCTGTCTCCACATGGAAAAACTGCCCTCATGGTGAAATTACAGAGGGTGTTTCAAGCCAGGGTACACACACCTCACTTCTGCTTGGGACTGGAAGGGATTTCAACAGCTTTTGGGTTTGGAAGCCAGGGGGTTAAGTATAAATTCACTCTATGTATCGGATAACGACATGCAACTCAAGTCAAACCACACAGAACTCTTTGGTTCTCTGTAAGACAGAACCAGACAAAGGGAGTATCACAGAGGGAAAATGAACTTAAGATGTCAGACAACAGCGATGTGTACCAGATGAAATTTGATGTAGGACACATTGGCTTCAGAGGGTCCAAAGACAGATCACTGTAGTTCCGTTTGAACATCCCCACCTCTGCCATGTGCTCTCACCTGATCATACTCAGATGCTCCTGGATACAGAGGCCAGCCCAGAAACAGCTCAGCTATCACACAGCCCAGCGACCACATGTCAATAGCTTCACAGAATGGCAAACCCAGTATGATCTCAGGAGCTCTGTTGAAAAGAAAGAAAAAGCAAAGTCCTTGACTCTGAAAGCAGGCAGTTCTTTCCCCTGGATAACACCCCTCCTTTTCTCCCCCGAGCACAAGTGAATCCCTGTGAAACCAAGCGATTTCACTTTAAAGCAGATGTCTTCCTCCAGTGGCCTAACAGATCCCAACCTTTTTAGGACTTAGTGGCACAGCTGGGTTCGCTTTATTGCCGTGGTGCCCTGCAGCTCCTAGGTAGCCTCTACACAACAGTGCTATGAAGTTACAGCACACAACCTGGCCTAAGAGCATTGACAACAAAAGCTCTGGCAAAAGAATGACTTTTCCCAGAGGAAGGTCTCCAGATCCCAGCTGCAGGAGGCTGCCTGCTTCCACCTGGAAAAGAACAGCATCTGCAGAGCAAGTCACCTCACTTCAGAGAGCTGCTCTTGTTTCTAGCAGCAGGTTTCCACCCAGGGTTTGTTTGGAGTTTCCACTTTAAAATGGATGGAGAGCAACACAGCTGGAGGTTGCGATGGCTTCGCAAGGTTGTATTACAGGTTTGTGTGCACTGAACCACGCCTAATGCAAAACTTACCTGCCTGGCCTAGCCTTTAGGAGAAGGGGATGGAAAAAACTAAACTCCAAGCAGGGTTTGCTCCTGCAACAGGCTGGGATTTCAGGGAGATTTTTGTCTGGCACTGACTCATAAAACAAAAGGATGCTTTAGTACAACTCTTCACCTACACACAAGCTCAAACAAACCAATGCCATCCTGCCAGGCTAAATGCTGGTCATACATTTGCATAGAGCATCAAACCCAAGTGCTACAAAACCCCCTGTGTGAGCTGGTGTGGGAATTTACTCTGGAAAGTACAGGAAACACGAAACCCTTGATCTTCTTCATGCATCACCAGTACAAGCGCAAAGGAAGAGAGACGAGTCCTGTTTTCTGGTCATGACTCAGGGAGCATCCCCCAGTTTGTGGGGCATTCCTTGTGTACAGCGTGGATGTTTCTGGGTTTGAAACAGAAATTTCTTACAAAATAAAACCCACAAATTTCTGTGTTTTTAACAGAAATAAAGGCTCTGGAACCAGTTCTGCTCTTTCTACAGAGTTGTAAAGAACAGGGCTTGCACAATGCACAGGTGTCAGCAGATCCTACACTCACCTTCCTCAACTGTTCCACCTGAGCGTAGCTCTGTTTGTACATGGCAAGAAGTGACTCTCCAATTACTCACGCTGTGTCGTGGTGACACAAATACAGCTTTTGTTTTAGGAGACTACACCATTACCATTAGCAACAGCACAAACACACAGCTGCCCCTGAGAAAGCACAAGATCTAGCAAGAAAAGATGGTTGAACCAGCTGTTTGCTGCAGTGAGCCCATAGCTCTTCCCTATCATTCACCTTTAAAGAAAGGAGGCTCTATTATGACTGAGCCCCCCAAAACAGAGCCATGATGCACCCTTAGTAATAACAGATAATCTAAGTGAAGACTCGCTCTCCCTGTCATTGATCTGTTCCCACCCTGTCTATCCCCGACAGCAGCCAGCTTTGCAATGGTTTCACTTACATGAAAACAGAAAATGATTATGCAAATATGGTAATTATTTGACATCTGAGTGCTGAATGTCCTGCTAAATAGCTGTATTTCAAAGAACTGTGCAGGAATAGATCCAACATCCTCTAGGCTGACACACGCAAACACGAGGAAACCAGTTCTGTAGTACTTTATTCTTCACAAGCACAGCAAGTACAACACAGTCACTCACACATTAGTCTATCAGTCACCATCAAACTGTATCGATCCTCTTGTTTATCCTGCTAACGTAGGAATTCCCAATCCAGGCAGGATAAAAACCTGCTGTATAAGGAACATTGCATGTGTAAGCTTTCTTGGTTTGGACTGGCAAGCAGAGCATGCTTAAAGCTCCACAAGTCCATTAAAAGAATCCCACCGAAAATTCCAATGGAAAGAAAGATGAGTGGCACCAAAGGCTGGATGTGACATTTGTTAGTGTTTAACTACATGCTGGAACTTCGGTATTCTGGAACCTCATTACTGAAAGGATAGCAAGCTGAACTCTGTGCATTTTATTCCCTGAAACTAAGTAAGTTCTCAAGAGCCACCTGATTTAATTTTGATTGCAGGACAGAGCTGATAAATCAGACTCTCCCTCATCTCCTTTTACACCACTGTAATTAGTGGCCTTATGTAGGCTGAGCAGGACAACTGGCAGAGGTCACTTTCATAGCTGGTCTGTCAGAGATTAAAGTGATTTTACTATCTTAAGCTCTTGGAAATAGAAATGAGCAACAGTCCTTCTTCACATACACGCTTGCCAAACTCTTGACTTCCAAAGCTGGCAAATGTGCTCAGGCAGTCCCTGAAGAGAGAGGATTCCCAGCAGTAATGGAAAAATCAGAGACCTAAACATTTCAGAACACACCATGTTGACAGCTGGGTCTCCAGCCCTCCACCTTGTGAAGGATGATAGCAAGATGAAGCTTGCACAACTGCAACTAGGAAGCCATGATCACCACTGATCACCATGACTGGGACAGAAGTGGGTCATGCAGCCCAAAGGAGAGTTAAGGAAGGGATACTGGTGCACCCTGCACTCCCTCAGCACCCAGTGCCACCTTCTCATGGCCCAGATTGTTCAGTCCTTCAGCTTAGCAGCTTCAATTTGTAGGTGCCTCTACAGGAATCAGGAGGTAGGGATGTGAGCAGGACTCATACGATGCTGCACTTATACCGTGGGACACCAGTAACCCTCCCTCTCTGGACAGCAGGGAGATCAGTCTTCCCAGGGATTGTTTTAATGCAAGCTGTCTGCTTCCTTCTCTTGTTTATCCTCCCCAGGGAGAACAAAAGCGTCCATACTGTTCTCACCTGACGTAGGAAGCACATACTCTCAGGTCAGGAATTACTCCTAGTAGATCTTGGGACTGCCACAGAAACTGCTCACTGCATAAAACACGACTGTCAGAAGTCCATGCCTGGCTTTGGACTTCATAGGCACTTCTGCTCTCACTTTAAGTCATGCTCCATCCCAACTGAGTGATGCTCGTGGAGGCCAAGGCAGGCTGACAACCGCCAGCAGCACAGTCGGAGCGTGCAGTGAGCAGGGCTGTTGGACAAAATGCCCTCCAGCAGCACTGGGCATAGTTAATAAAGGAAGGTTTTTTCCTTCAGGGTGCATATATCAGAAAACTCACCTTAGAGTGCCCGAGCTTGGCTGGTTTAGAGGTTGCTACAGGAGTCAGAGGTTACATAAACGCCAGCAACAGGTATTAAAACCAAGAAAGCGAACACAGAAGATGATGGTTATTCTTAAGAGCTGACAGAGAACCAAACAGCCCACACTGTTTTGTTAAACTGGAAAAAACCATCCAACTGGGAACTCCTGTGAACACCAATTTACTGCGAACACGATTAAGAAATCCAGTTCTCCCACCATAAGCTGGTTTGTACACCGTCTCCATCAGTTCCTAGATTATGGATTTTAGTAATCACCACCATTAAGGTAATTACATATCACTAAATATTAGATTTCTACATCACAGCATTCTTGCCTTCAGTCAAGCAGACAGCCTTAAACACCAGCTACTCTCTGCTTATTTGCCTTTCTGGCAGCGTCAGTCACCCTGCATCAGGGAGGTGGAAGTGGCTGGGAGTTCAGTGCTGCACACAAAAATGAAGCAGACAGCTTCCCTCCCAGCAAACCCTTTCAGATACTTATCATCCCTTGCTGCTTTTGCCTCAGCCAAATCTGGGTTTAGCGATACGGAAACTGGAAAGCACTATATGCCTCCCCAAACTGCTCTGCTCACATGTGCTGCAAGTCAGATAGAGCTGATTCTTGATCAGTGGTTGCCTCTCCTAAAGCAACAACAGAACTGGTAATGCATTTTAGATAGCGAGCATTTTAACAGAGCTACAGCACACAGAGGACAACTGCATTACAGAAATTAACAATCAGAAGTTTAGAATAGGGAAAATTGGTGCCAATGGGTGAAGATCGTGAGGAATGGATGAAAAGCCTGCAACAAGTGAAAGAAAAAGCACAGGTACTCAGTGTAAGAGGGAGTAAATAAAAAACCAACCTCAAAACAAAGGGGAGCAAGAATACAAGGAGTATGAGGAATGAACAGACCAAGCCTACAAGCTTTAAACTGAAGCTCAGAGGATGTGGGAAAGACATCAAACAGGGCAGAGACACGGCGTGGGGTGGAGTGTCTCAAGTCCTCTGTCTCGTCTCAGCTGGAAGGACTAGATACTGGTTAAGTTCTGTGTCAAGTGAGCTCGCATTCCACCAAAAGCCACCCTAACACAGCAGACTTTTCACGTCCCTCTGATGCCACAAGTTCTTTCTGCATCCATTTACTGAAGTTCACTGCTACCAGGATTGAAATACACACTGTTAACAGAACCATGCTGCACAGTTTCTGAGTTTTGACATTTTTGCCCATAGGTTTTAATTCTTAGGAGTTGGGTAGAAGCCATTCCTGCATTTGCCTAGGGGAAGCAGAGATGTAGCTCATGAGGGTTTTAAAAGAGCTACAGGTCTCATGAAAGCATGACTTACCCAGGGTTGACACAGGAAGTCATGTGCTCACAAAGTGGCTTCAGATAAAGATGGAACCAATAAAAAAAAGGCAGGACAAAAAGACAGGAATCCTTTCGACTTTTCTCCCTTCTAAATGACCACTGTCAATGGACTCGTTTCAGATCACGGCAAGCTATCAAAAATTCACTACTTAGTAGCCACATACTGCTTCCCCAGGTTGCTACTAGACACATCACCACAAGCTAGCAACAGGGTAAAACTTACTGCACTAATACAGGGGAAAAGGGAGGTACTGGACTGCATGATGGCACACTCACAAAGCAGAAGTTCTATTTATTTACATACAAATGGGGGGGGAACGGACAGGAACCATGCAGAACATTGGAGAGCCTGATCATTTCCTCCTCCCCCCTTAAGTAGGATTAGACCTAATGGCAGAAGAATTACCTATGTGCAAAAACAAACCCCTAGCACACCATCAGGAGCAGCTTTTCCTCTGCTCACACAGCATATGAAAGCGAGCACTGTGTCAATACTCACCTGTAATAACGTGACTGCAAGTAAGTGGAGCACACTGCTTTAGACACATGGCTGGCTGAACCGAAGTCGATCACCTTCACTCTGTAGGGCTGGCGTGCAGGATCCACCAACATGATGTTTTCTGGTTTCAGGTCAGCATGTATCAGACCCAAGCTCTTCAGCTTCATCAAGGCAGTAGCCACTTGCTGCAGAATTGGCCGGATGTATTTCAAGGGCAATGGACTGAATTTGTTTTGCTTTAAGAAATCATATAAGTTCTGTTCCAGCATCTCAAATACAAGGCATGTATGATTCTTGTGTTGAAAGCACTCGTAGGAGCGAACAAAGTTGTATTCATCAGCATTCTCACTGCTCAAGCGAGAGAGGATGCTCACCTCTATCTGGCCCTGCCTAGCGTAAGAAGGATGGTTCTTCAGGATTTTGATGGCTACAATCTCCTTTGTGCTACGCTTCCAGCATTTTGCCACCTGCCCAAACGTCCCTCGGCCCAGGAATTCCAAGACCTCATAGCTGTTGGTCATAGAGCACAGGATCTCATGCTGGACCAGCTGGTAATCACCTTCACCACTGGAACTGCTGCTTTTAGTGGTTACCGTGGTGGTTGTGGCCGCAGCACCCACCGCAGGTCTGTTTTGCAGCATGAGAGGTGGATGTTCCTCAATTATCTGCACACTACCGTTGCTGTCGACCTCTTCACTTTTCCTTTTTAATCCACATTTTTGGTATGGTTCCAGTAAAGAAAGGTTGCTCCTACGTGTTAGGGTTTGGCTGTTCTGGAAGGACGCTGTTGCACTGCTGCCTGTGCTGTCAGCTGCTGTCACTGCAACGTGCTCAACTGAAGGAGCAGGGAGCAGGAGGTTCTGATCGTAAGCAGGGATGCTGAAGTTGGCTACCTGATGAGAGGAGCTTGCTTGCCCTTGAGCTGCTGGGAGGTTTTTGCTGTGGGTATAATATGTGTCACTACTGCTCTGTCCTGAAACATCCCAGACAGAGAGCTCCACTTTCAGTTTCTTGGCACTGCAGAAGGCACTCGAGGATACTGACGGAGAGGAGAACACCTGCAGCTGTGAGGCCATACCTGAAAAGGGAGAGGAGAACTCATTAGGACTGCTCAATGGCAGCAGGCTGTGACAGAATGAGATCCTCCATCTGCACAAGAAACAGAACTAGGAGTGTTTTTCTAAGTGCCGTATGGTACCTACCACCTAAGAAGGTGGCCTTTCGAACTGCTGATCCTAAGGGCATCCACAGAGCAAGGTCTGCAGTGGAATTACAGCATTTTACCTCACTGCTTACATCATAAGAAGCAGGCAGCCCTTTATCTAGCCTTCTGAAGGCTAAAGAAACCCTGACATGAAATAGGACAACAGTGCTGATGAACGGAAGCAGGAAGACACCAAATAAAGTTCCTCCCCCGCTTCTATTTCCCTACAAGTGTACAAATAAACCCGAACCGAACCGAACGTACTGATGTTGACCGCGGTGGTGTACGGCGCCCCATGGGGACCGCGCACTCCGTGCAAGACGAACGACATGGAACGCCACGACTTGCGGGCGAACACGAGGAGCGCGCTGCCAACCGCCTCGTTCAAGCCGGTGGCCAGATCCCGCAGCCAGCGGGCGAGAAACCGCCGCCGTGGGGGGCTCTCGGTGCCCCGCAGCCAGCGGGCGAGAAACCGCCGCCGAGGGGGGCCCTCGGTGCCCCGCAGCCAGCGGGAGAGGACCCGCGGCCGAAGGAGGCCACCGGTGCCCTGCCAGGAGCGTGTGAGAAGCGGCCGTCGAGGCGGGTCCTCGGTGCTCTGCAACCAGCGGGCGAGAAACCGCCGTCGGGGAGGGCCCTCCAAGTCCCGCTGCCAGCGGGTGAGAAACTGCCGCCGAGGGGGGCCCTCCGTGTCCTGCCGTGATGGGGCGAGACGGGGCGGTGCGGACGGGCTCCCCATGCTCCGCAACCAGCGGCTGAGAAACCGCCGTCGGGGGGGACCCTGCAAGCCCCGCAGCCAAGGTGCAAGCAACAGCCTCGGACGGTGGGGCGCCCAGCCCCGCCACAGAAGCCGCCGGCAGGGCGGCCCCTCCATGGCCGGCCACCGGCGAGCGAAAAACCGCAGCCGCAGAGGCCTCCCCGAGCCCTCGGAGCGGAGGAAGCAGCGCCGGCCGCGTCCTGCTCGGGGCCGGAGTCCGTTGTCAGGGGTCACTACGGCCCCCACCCACTCCACCCACCCCACCCACCCCCGCCGCGCGCCGTGGAACTCACCGCCGGTTGGACGTTCTCAGCCGCGCGCCGGACCTGCCTGCGGGACACGCGGGGGTGCGGAGCCCCGCAACGGGTGCGTCATAGCCCCCGCCGCGGCCGCCGGCCCGGCCCGCTCGGCCCGCGCACGCCGGGGGGAGCCCCCAGGCCGCTGCTTCGCCGCCGCCAGGCTCCGCCGCGCTCCCCCCTACCCCGGGCGCCGCGCTCCCCCCTACCCCGGGCTCCCCCCCCCCCCCTTCTCGGCCTCCGCCGCCGCCGCCACGGGCCCGAGCGCTCCCGCCGCGCCGCCCCGGGACCCCCGCGCCAGACTGAGCCAGCCGAGCCCCGAGCCGGCCAGGCGGCCCAAGCCCCACCACGTGACCCCGCTCCTCCCCTGCGACGCCTGCGCGGCGGAAAGTGGGGGGGGCCGCGCCGGCGCCGCCGAAGCGGAAGCGGCGGGGCTGAGGCCGGGGTGGGTCCCGTTGAACCGGGCTTGGTCCCGGGGAACCCGGCTTGGAGCTGGCGGCACTCGGGGCTGCGGGGAGGCGGCTCCGTGGGGGCCGGTGTGCGTTAAGCGAGCACGGAAGAGGCAGCGTGTGGCCCGGAGCTCAGCGGGAGATCCGTGGCTGGGCTGAGGGCTCCGGGGGGTTCAGTGTGGAGAATTGAAGGCTCAGGGGGGACCTGGTCGCTCCCTACAACTGCCTGAGAGGAGGATGGAGCCAGGAGGGGCTGGGCTCTGCTCCCAAGGAACAAGGGATGGGACAAGAGGAAACGGCCTCAAGCTGCCCCAGGGCAGGTTTAGATGGAGCTGAGGAGCTATTCCTGCCCCAGAGGGTGCTCAGGCATTGGAACAGGCTGCCCAGGGCAGGGCTGCAGTCACCGTCCCTGCCCCAGTGCCATGGGTTAGTGGTGGTTTTGGCAGTGCTGGGGTAAAGATTGGACTTGATCATCTTAAAGGGCTTTTCCAGCCCAGCTGATTCTATGATCGTGGTGGTCACGCACTTCTCCAGCAAGTTACATCAGTGCCACCCGCTCAGGACCTCCTGCTCTTGGGGGATTAATTCGGCCTCTCCCATGGTCAGCATTACAGAGACATTCCTCAGTTTTCTTAAAAACACTTTAAAAATCATGTTTATTATAAATACACCAAAATCTCAGCAGCTTTCACAGCCTCGTGTTCACTTACAGGAACAGCAGCAGCACAAGCATAAACTCACACCTTGTATGAGCACAGAGAGTGGAGGGCAGTTGTCAAGTCTCCAGATGATCAGCAGAACACACAAAAAGCACATGCAATCAGAACAATAAAAATCTAAATACTCTGATCTCACAATCCACTGTCTGCTATGGTGAGATTGTTGTAGGCAGAGGTGGGAATGAAGAGGCACAAGGGAAAGATGTGTCCCAAGGCATTTAACAGCATGACTTCCCTGAGGATGTGATGGATCTCAGTCACAAGAAGCGCTGTGTTCTGGCACTGAGCAGAGAGCACATTGATCAGAGGTGGTCCCACATTCATCTTTACAACTACCAAGTAACATCTGCTACACATAAAAACCTAAGAACAGAAGTATTGACTATTCTACTGAGCTTTCCAAAACACAGAAGGAAATTGGTCCCCCGAGACTCCTGAAAGCAGCCTGAGCACCACGAAAGCACCCATGGTCCTGGGGGCCCTCTACAGTATCAGATCCCCTAGAGAGGGAGAAAGTTTAGGGAGGAAGGGTTAAGATTTTCTGCTTTGCAGAAACTCCAGTGCAACTTTTCTCCATGAGAGAATGCTGAGCAGCAATAACTGCAGCCAGGACTCAGGGTGCCAAGCAACACTGCAAGGGATGGTGAGACAACAAGCTGCCAGCAGCAAAGTGTGAGCAGGCCAGTATTGCTCTTCTGTGTAAAATCCTAATAAAGGAGTACGTGTGTGTGTGCATTTAAGAGTCAAGAAATAACATGTTCCATTTCTTCCTCCAGTAAAGCACCATTTGTACTGTCTGCTCACCCCTCTTACTATCTGCTAAAGGAAGATTTTAGGCCCGCATGGGGAATGCGTTTCTCTGGCTGCCTTTTCTCCAGGCTTAGAGTGAACACTAAGGCTGAAGAAGGATGGGACACCCTTCATAGTTTTCCACTGTTTCAGAGAAGCTAGAGCAAACTGAACTGTTCCAGGGTATAGTGACTGGACTTTCATAGGCAGCTGTGTGGCAGGAGCTCAGCAGGCAGCCCTGCTCCCAGAGCCATGAGCCTGCCCTGCCTTCCTGACACTCCAGCATTTGATCACAGCTTGTTAACACAGTGCTGAAAACTTGCCAAAAGGAGCTCAGCTCGTCCCTAGCTCTTCTGGAGGCTCTGGGAGGCCCTGGGTGGGTTGTTTCATCCCACTGGGGCTTGGTTCCCAACTGTGGAACAGAGATAAGCCACTCCAGCATGCTCTGTGTGTATAGATTTGGGAGGGCTTTGGTCTCATCACCATGTTTTTCTTTCTCCTGCTAGGATAACTGTAAGTTTCCAAGCATGTGGCCCTTCGATACCCCACAGTCAAGCTAATATTTGGCTACAGCTTCTCATTGTCAGTGTTGTGAGCAAAACACACCTGTGGCAGCGGCATTGACAGAGCCATGTGCACCCAGAAACAGCATGTTCAGACCTTGGTGTACATGATACTCCAGCTCCCAGCTGCACTAACACTCCCCCTGTAGGCTAGGCTGGTGGTAGAAACAGAGGGAAACTGGAGGCAAGCATGAGCAGAACAAAGCCTCTAAGAGGCCAGCTATTTACTGCCAGGGAGCTTTGGGGAAGTCAAAGGATTCTCAGAAGCCTTAGAGCTCAGCAATGCCACTTATCCCCACAAGGCCATGGTTTGTTCCCTAGGATTTTAGGATAACACACAGAAGTAGTAGTTTAACACCCAAGAGAAGGAGGAAATGTGTGACACACTTAAAATGCCCCAAGCACCTGCTCTGCTAAGGCAAAGATCTCCAATATGCTGTTGGTGAAGTCTCTCCTGCTTCTATTGCCTTTTAAAACCATGAAGAGATTTAGGTTTCCTTGGTGCTATGTGATTTGAATAACTTCTTTCTGAAGGGGCAGGAGTTACCTTTTAAGCTCCAGTAACAGAAGCCAGCATTTCTTCTACAGTTGTAACTGAGTGTTCGGAAATGGGGTGCACATCCCCCGCTTCTGAAGTCTGCAGTTTTCCTTTTGTGTGATCTAAAGAGCAGAGCTAACTCCGCAAAGAATCGCCACTTACAACTCCCTTTGCCCAGAGGCTCACCAGGAGATGCTCTACTTCATTTCCTTGAATAAACGTTTGGTAAGAACAGTTGATAAGAATAAAAGCGGAAGGACTGGATGCCACCAAACATCAGCAGTAAAATGCATCAGTTCTCAGAGGTCATTTGCAACATAGCTAAATGGAGCAGTGACTCAGAAGGCAAGCATTCCTTCTAAGCAGTGGAGAGGCTGCACCAGAGAGCAGGACATGGAATCTGGGAGTTCAGGCACTGCTTCCCTCACCTGCCTGTCAACTGAGTCACTTAATTTTGGACAACGTTTAAATACCAGCCTGCATCTCCAAGGCAGCCAGCAGCAGACAACACACTACCAGCACAGCACAACTATTTCCCTGGCAGTCTCAGATGTTACAAAAGATGCTTGTGTCTCCACTCACACTGACGTGATGGAGCGCTGCAGTTGAGTTTTGACTAACAAATAATCCATACAGAAACCTCTGAGGAACAGGACCTTACAGAGCACAGCAAGAGGCTGGAGCTGCCCTTACTACCCCTTTGGAAGTGTGTTTCACAGAACACTGCTCAGTCACCTCTGATATCCCCACCAACAGGCAGCCCCACCAGAGGCACTGCTGCTCTTACAGTGATACAAGTTGCAGTGCCTGGGAAGGCACAGGGCTGGGAGGTAGGAAGCATGTTTACCAAACAGCTTTCCAAATATACCCACGCTGGCTGTCCCCGTGATTACTGTTCAGGACAGCCTTGTTTTTAACACGTGACTGACTGCTGCATCTGAGGCATCTTTGCTTTTCACAAGCTCTGGCTTTAGTCAAAGAGCAAACACTTGCTTTTCTGTTTTGATTCAGGGAATTCAATCCACCTAAGCTGACTGCTTTTAGAAAGACCTCACAGGACACTACATTCAGAACAGACTGATCCTGGTCAGGATCACATGAAATGTTTTGTGTTTAAAGTAACAAAATGGAGACCAGAAGAAGCTGAATCCCAAGCTGGTTTCTTGCTCCAAGAAAGTGCTTAGTGACCATTTCTGATCCAGTGTTGCTGCCTTGACCACACAGGGAGCCAATTTGTGATATTGCTGGTGCAGTTTGGCACAGACAACTACAGTGTTCCAGGCTCCACAGCAGTACCGCTGGCTGGTCCCATTACTGACACTTCTGCCTGTGTTGAGCTGTTGCTCTCTGCAGCTGATCTGGAGCAGGAAAGCGCTTGACCTCTAATAGAGCCACTTGTGCTGTTCAGCCACAGTATTATTTCCAAACAGTGCTGTTAAGGCTGAGCACTTTACACCACTAAGCAGATGTTCCATTATCTTCCTTCCCATTTGCCACTGCGTGTAAGAGGAGGCAGCAGATGGGAAGGCAGTGGCCCTAACGGAACTCTAGGAGTTACCAGAAGCTCTCTGCAGTCAAGCAGAATTCAGACTTCAGGCTGCAGGGGATACAGGGACCCATTCCAGAAAGTCCAGAACTCAAGAACCCAGACAATTTCTGCTTTTCCCAGCCATTGACCTGACAGTTACCATTAAGATGATGCTCTCAGGAGAGCAGAACTGTGCCCAGCTTTAATCTATTAAATCTATTAATCTACTCATACCTCCAGCAAAACCAGGGCTGTCTGGAGGTATGAGTAGATTAATAAATAATTTTCTAGATTAATAATTTTCTAGATTTTTTGAAGAACCATTTTTAAAATATACCTTAATATTAATATCTGTAATACCTTAATAGTACCTTATAATAACATATAATATTGGTAATACCTTAATATTTGTAATTCATCTTGAAATGAACCACTGTCAATATAGAATCTGTAGGGCTCTCAGGTTCGCTCTACTCGCTTCTTTCACACATTCCAACCCCACTATTTCAGCTGCAGGCAGCTCCTACCCTCTGCAGCTCAGCTTGACTCCACCTAGCAGCATCTTTTGCCACAAGAAACGGGTAAGTCACTGCAAAAAGTGGAGACAAGGCACACGCACTGCAGGACTGCACTGCTCAAGTGTAGTGTGGAGACCCAACAGATGCAAACAGATAGAAAAAGAAATCACTTTAAAACATTAATGCCCACAAACCCGTCCTAGTAAGATGTAAAGAGCCCCAAGAGCGCAGCTCCTCTCTTCTGATGGGAAACCTGAGCCCGTGCCTTCGAATGCATAGAACGCATTGGCACTGGCAAGTGTCACAGTTTTTCAAAGTGCTTCTCATCTCCTAAAGAAGTCTTCCACCAGCTTGTCAAATTTCTGTGAGGAATTCTGCTTTAGGACATTCAGGGGAGTGAGCAAATACTGCTCTGCAAGTCCAGTTGGAAAGGGCTCATCGGAAACAGGCGCCTGGCTGACAGCACTAGCTGCCTTGGCTACTCCTGGCTGTTCTCCACTCTGCTCTTCCTTCCCTTTCTCCTTGCCCATGTGACAAGTGCAACCTTCAGTCAAGCAGCAAGCGGACTCGCAGCAGTTCTGCTGAGGAACCTCAAAACCTCTGAACTCTTCAGAATTCTCAGGGTATTTCTCTAGCGACTCATAAACAACTCCTCTGGGCACAGAATGCCACACAGCTCTCTTCAAGAGACACTTGGGTTCCTGCCCTTTCTTTCTGCTTTGCTGCTGTACAGATTCCTGCACAGGTTTTAGGACTCTGAGGTCAGGAAGTGCCTGGGGGGCAGAACTTAGGTATTCTTGAAAGTAAGCCTGGCACATGCCGCCCTTCACAATTGGGATGACTGAGCAAGGTTTCAGCCACTTCACAAACTCGCACAGCTCCGAAAAGGACGAGTGATCCGAGTACGGAATGAGGTGGATGTTGGGATGCGTGACCTTCATGGGCCTGCCGGTAGGGAGGATGGCGATGGTAGGGTGCAGCGTGTTCCAGCTGACGAGGGTATCCCAGCGGATCTCAGCGACATCCACCGCACGGATCCAGCCGGCGCCCTCCTCAGCGGTGAACACATCAGGCAGCTCCAACAGCCGCATCTGCTCCAGGCGCCAGGGGCTCACCACCACCCAGGTGCTGAACTCCACTGCCAGGTCCACCAGCAGCATCTCCTTGCCCAGGCTGTACACACCTGCAAGGAAAGCCATGAGCAGCACACCAGGGATGGGGGGGGAAGGCAAGAGCACCGCAGGCGGAGGCAGCGCTTACCGATAACGACTTGGTGCCGCGGGTGCTTGCGGATGATGCGCGCGGCCTCGTGCGTGGCGTGCTGCCGCGAGGGCAGGGACCGCTGCGGGTTGCAGTGGGTGTTGTCCAGGTACAGGCGGTCAATGTGGCGGCCCCTCAATACCGCCTCGCCCTGCATGGCACTGGTGTAGCGGAAGTCCCCTGCAAGGACAGGACTGTCAGGGTGGGCCGGCGGCCGCCGCGAGGGCCGCAGGGGGTTGCCCCGTACCTGTATAAAGGATGGTGCCGAAGGTGCCCTCGAAGAGGAACATGACCGAGCCGGGGCAGTGATTGGAGTCGAGCAGAGTCACTGTCACCTCCTCGCCCAGGACATGGCTTTGGCCCACCTCGAGGGGACGGATCCAGCACGCCGGCACCTGCGGGGAGCGGGCGATGAGGGGCAGGGCGCAGGCCGGGCGGTGAGGGCAGGGCCGGGGCGCACGTACCTGCAGGCGGCGGTGCAGGAGGCGGGCGGTGAGCGGCGAGCAGTACAGGGGCCGGTTCCAGGTGCTGGAGAGCCCCACGGTGTGGTCCGAGTGCAGGTGCGAGAGGAAGAAGAGGCGGGCGCCGCCGGCCCTGCGCACGCTCCAGAAGTCCACGGCGATGGGCGTCCCGGGGATCACCGTGCCGCTCATGGCGGGAGCGCGGGACCCCGCTTCCCGCCGAATTCGGGTGGGCGGAGCCGCGCAGGCGCGGAGGGCGAGGAGGCGGGGCGGGAGGTGCGTGCGCAGCGCGGGGCGGTGCTGAGGCGGAGCGAGGCCCGGAGCGGGGCACGGAGCCGGGCCATGCCGTACCTGGGCGGCGAGGAGGTGGTGCGGGAGCTGCGGCGGGCGCTGTCCAACCCGCACGTACAAGCGGATCGGATGCGGTACCGCAACGCCGTCCTGCGGGTTATCCGGTAGGGCCGGCGGCGGGGAGGGTGCCGGTAGGGTTATCCGGTGGGGTTATCCGTGAGGTTACCCGGTGGGGTTATCCGGTGGTTTATATCCGGTGGGGTTATCCGTGAGGTTACCCGGTGGGGTTACCCGGTAGGGTTACTCGGTGGGGTTATCCGGTGGTTTATACCCGGTGGGGTTATCCGGTGGGGTTATCCGGTGGTTTATACCCGGTGGGGTTATCCGGTAGGGTTATCCGGTGGGGTTATCCGGTGGGGTTACCCGGTAGGGTTATCCGGTGGGGTTATCCGGTGGGGTTACCCGGTAGGGTTATCCGGTGGGGTTATCTGGTGGGGTTACCCGGTAGGGTTATCCGGTGGGGTTATCTGGTAGGGTTACCCGGTGGGGTTGTCCGGTAGGGTTATCCGGTAGGGTTATCCGGTGGGGTTATCTGGTAGGGTTACCCGGTGGGGTTGTCCGGTGGGGTTACCCGGTCGCGAAGTCGGCCCTTGCTGATCCGTGTCTCCGCCGCAGGCACATGGCGCAGGGAGTGGACGTATCGGGGCTGTTCCCGGAGATGGTGAAGGCCAGCGCGGTACCGGACGTGGTGCAGAAGAAGCTGGTGTCGCTGTACGTGCGGGCGCAGGCCCCGCGGCAGCCGCAGCTGGCGCTGCTGGCGGTCAACACCCTGCGCAAGGACTGCGCCCACCCCAGCCCTGCTGTCAGGGGGCTCGCCCTCCGCAGCATGTGCGGCCTCAGGTGCGATGGGAGGGAGCAGGGGGGGTGGCCGTGATGCGGGAGGAGGACCGTGTTGGTACCGGGAAATAAAGGGTTAACATTGTGCCTGCTTGCTGAAGCAGTCGCTGTGCTTGGTGAAGCAGAACCGTAGGAGTCAAAGTTGCTAGAACGGTGAAGCAGAATTGCAGGAGTTACGGCTGCGAGGCAGAATTGTAGTAGATCAGATTCATAACCTAACATTGAAGACATTCTTGGTTAAATAGGATCCATAGAAAGCAAAGGAACAAAAGATAGCCAGAGTAACAACATTTGCAAACTTGACAAGTTTCTGCTTTAAGATAAGTAAAACCGGCTTGTACCGAACCTGAGGTTTGGACAGGAGCCGAAACCCCATTGAGTCTCTGTGAAAGCAAGAGATTACTCGCAGTGATGAAGAGGAACTAGAGACCTTCATCCTCATGACCCCCTAACGACCACCACCAGGAGGCACTGCGCAGGCGCACCAATGGGATGAATGCCAGAAAACTAATTATAATACTAGATGGGAATAGGTTTTGCATATGTATTAGGCGTAAAGCAATCCCATGTTTAGGTAATCATTATATGTAATATAAACAAACTGAGTGGCAAAGGAAAGGTGCGCATCCTTTTGGAGGAGCAATCCCCATGCGCCTCAGCGCTGAATAAATCATACCTACTTTACAACTTTAATGAGTTGTGGAGTCAGTCCGTGTATCAGTGTCCCACTGTGATGCCCTCCCTCCCTCCTACCCGCAGGATGCCCGGCATCCAGGAGTACCTGCAGCAGCCCCTCCTGAGCGGCCTGCGGGATAAAGCCTCCTACGTGCGGAGAGTGGCGGTGCTGGGCTGCGCCAAGATGCTGAAGCTGCAGGGGGACTGTGAAGTGGGTGAGTGGGGTCAGGGCTCTGCAGTGGGGAGCTCAGCAGGAGGAGGGGGTGACCCACAGGACCTGGGGGTTGTGCAGGCCTGTGCTGGGCTCGCTGTCGCTGGGTTGCGGTAGTGGTACAATAGAGGGACTGGGGAGAAGAAGGAAGATAAGCAGGCTGTCAGTGCAGATTGGACTGGTAATGGGGCACCAAGCACTGTGAGGCTCTTTGTTGGAGTGCCTCTTTCATACCTGCTTTTAAAAGGCCTCCTGCCATGCATGGGTGCTATCCATCATCCTTTCCATCCCAGGAAATTGGTGGAATCACCATCTCTGGAACTATTCACAAAGCATGTAGATGAGGCCCTCAGAGATTGCTTTAGCATACCCCCAGTCCTGGGGTAATGGTTGGACTTGATCTTAATGGTCTTTTCCAACCTGTTTGATTCTATGGTTCCATGATTCCGTGGCCATTTCCAGAGTCTCTGATGGGCTGGGCACCATTCCCACATCCGCAGCCCTTCAGGGAGAAGTTGCAGGCGTTACTGCAGAGCTGGAAGTTTTTGTTGGCTCCTTCTTGCAGTTCAAGCTGTATCGTTTGTTGTTGCTAAATGCCTATAGATAGTGATTGAATTGCAGCATGACAACAGAATCTGATGGAAGGACCTCTGCTGCTTTGCAGATGGTGCTTTGGTGAATGAGCTGTACAGTTTGCTTCGTGACCCGGATCCTATTGTAGTCGTGAATTGTCTGAGGGCATTAGAAGAGATCTTGAAGAAGGAGGGAGGAGTTGTCATCAACAAACCCATTGCCCATCATCTCCTCAACAGGTTGGTTTTCTTTGCTCTTAAGATGGTGCTGGAAGCTTCGTTCTTATTCTTGCTTTTTGTATGCTAGCAGAGCTCCTGTCAGAACTTGAAGGGCAGAGTCGGGCACCCAAAGAGGGTAGTGCCCATCCTAAGAGAAACGAAACAGGTTTTTTGCTAAGGTTTGAAGAGAAATCTCTGCTGTCCTGCTTTTCCAGGGAGTCTTTGCTTCAGGTTTGCTGGTTTGGTTTTGAGCTATAGGTTAATAGAATCATAGAACGGTTAGGGTTCTTAAGATCATCTAGTTCCAACCCCCTGCCATAGGCTCTGTCCAGCCTGGCCTTAAACACTGTTAGGGATGGAGCATTTACCACTTCTTTGGGCAACTTAATCTGGTTATTTGGTAACAGTACACAGGTATGTTCTGCTGTGTCTCTCCCAATCCTTTGAAAGACACATAATTTATCCATTGCTGAAGAGATTAACTTTTCTGCAGGTAATTGTGGAATTACAGAATAGTTAGGATTGGAAAGGACCTTAAGATCATCCAGTTCCAACCCCCCTGCCATGGGAATTCTGCATGATCTGGCAGAAGAGCAGTATTGCTCTGCCCAGGGTTCTTGTCAGTGTTGCTGTCTAGCTTAGAGTACCAGAAAAAGTGTACATGAGTGATCCTAATCTGCACAAACTGGTTCTCTTGAGAGAAAATCGTGGTACCTACTTGTGAAGCACAGCATTTGGCTTGGAACACACACTGTAAGGAGCTCAGGCCTCTGCTCTGCGCAGTGCAGATCTCTGTGCTTCTTGACTCCTGGAAACTGTGTTTGTTCTCTCGGCAGGATGGCAGATCTGGATCAGTGGGGGCAGAGCGAGGTGCTCACCTTCCTGCTACGCTACAAGCCCCGCGCTGAGGAGGAGCTCTTTGACATACTCAATTTACTGGATGGCTGTCTCAAAAGCAGCAGCCCCAGCGTTGTGATGGCAGCCACCAAGCTTTTCCTAGTGCTGGCCAGGGAGTACCCGCACGTGCAGGCAGATGTTCTGGTGAGGGTGAAGGGCCCGCTGCTGGCTGCCTGCACCTCTGAGAGCAGAGAGCTCTGCTTCACCGCACTGTGCCACGTGCGTCAGATCCTTCGTAGCCTTCCTGGCCATTTCAGCAGCCACTACAAGAAGTTCTTCTGTTCGTATTCAGAGCCCCACTACATCAAATGCCAGAAGATGGATGTGTTGTGCGAGCTGGTGAATGATGAAAATGTACAGCAAGTGCTGGAGGAGCTGAAGAGCTACTGCAATGATGTATCGATAGAGCTTGCCCAAGGGGCAATCTTTGCCATAGGTAAGAGCTGTGTCCTGCCTTGGGAGCAGCTGCAGCCCGAGAACTTTAAGGTGGGCTGGTCTCTGATGAGTGTCCTAGCATTGAATTGTTTCATAATGTCCTTGAACCTTCAGATATCTGTGCTCTGATATTTAAGGTACTCTAAAGAAATGGTGCATTTCATCTTATTAATCAGTCTTAGTGTAGTGTGTGGAGGAGCTGCTCTAATAACTGCTTGTTCTTTGAGTTGTGATGGAGGCAGAGGTAAGATGATTTGGGGCACTTTAGTTTTGGTTGTGTAAGCTTTAAAACTGAGGAGTTTCTGTATCATTCATAAGGAGAAAGCCAGGGATGCAAAAATCCTTTCTTATGTTACATTTAAGAAAACTTCAGAGTTCTGGGGCATGGCTTCAGAAAAAGGAACATATCCCTTGTGTGGAGAACAGGCTTGTTTGACTCCACTTTCTGAAGCTGTAGTCAAAAAGAGGAAGCCTGTTGCTTTAAAGTGAGTTTGTGATGAAGAGTTGGGCTCGTGGTTCCTATTTCATGCTGAAAGGTGGAATTTGATGACCTTTGGTGTCTCTGCAGGCAATATTGCTAGGACATACACAGAACAGTGTGTGGGGATTCTGACAGAGCTACTGAGGCTTCAGCAGGAACATATCACTTCAGGTAATCATCTGCACGTTGTTTGCCTGGCTAATGCTTTCAGGAATGGTGCTGCTGGGGCTTGTGATCCCAAACTCGAGGCTTTCAAAGGCATTTGGCTTTTAACTGGCATCTTCCTGGTGGAGCTGAGGATGTCTGGTGTGACCAGACACTGTAGTTTTTCCTTCCTTTGTGGGGGTCATAGCTGTGTTCATGGGCTGATGGGGAGGCTCCTTTCTGGCTGCCACCTGCTGACATGGGGAGTGAGGACTCACTCAGCAGAGGCATTTTAGTGACTGCTTGAGGGCCAAGATGATGAATAGATCTTTTAAATCCTTGTGATTTCTGTCCCTCATAGAACAGTCAGGGTTGGAAAGGACCTTAAGATCATCCAGTTCCAACCCCCCTGCCATGAGCAGGGACACTTCACACTAAACCATGTCAGCCAAGGCTCTGTCCAGCCTGGCCTTGAACACTGCCAGGGATGGAGCATTCACAACCTCCCTGGGCAACCCATTCCAGTGCCTCATCACCCTCACAGTAAAGAACTTCCTCCTTGTATCCAATCTAAACTTCCCCTGTTTCAGTTTGAACCTGTTACCCCTTGTCCTGTCACTACAGTCGCTAATGAAGAGTCCCTCCCCAGCATCCCTATAGCCCCGCTTCAGACACTGGAAGCTGCTCTGAGGTCTCCACGCAGCTTCTCTTCTTCAGCCTGAACAGCCCCAGTGTTCTCAGCCTGTCTTCATACAAGAGGTGCCCCAGCCCCTGATCGTCCTCGTGGCCTCCTCTGAACTTGTTCCTACAGTTCCATGTCCTTTTTATGTTGAGGACACCAGAACTGTACACAATGCTCCGTAGTCTGATTCAGTTGTACCAAGGCATCTTTTTCTTCTGCTGCCCTCAGATCTAAGGTTATCATTGCTGTTTCAGCCCTCTCTTTTAAGTGGTCCTGCTTTCAGTTTTGAAAAATCACACGCTTTCACTCAGCTCTTGAATTAGGTCTCGGAAGCTGCTGCTGCTTCTGTAACTGGGCACCAGAGCCTTTACAATTCTAACCTAAAGCTCATCAAAAGACTTGTTTTGAATTGGTGTTAGTTTTGTCATTCTGACCTTGTTTGTGTGAATCATCATGAGTCAGTGTCTTTTTAAAGGCTGGGAATGTCCAGAAAAGAGGTTATTTCCAGCAGCCAGAGGAACAATCTGAAGTTTCAGGGCTTTGGTGCACCTTTGCTCTGACAACCAAAGTGTCATGGGGCTTTGAAGGGTGTCTCAAATCATAGTCACAAGCAAGGCACTGACCTCCCTAACTGAGATTTGCAAAGACTCTTGAATGGGTGTTTGTGGAATCTATTTCCCTAGTGGTTCTGTAACTCCTGGGGAATGCTGTGCACTTTGTCTCATTGCAGCAGTCATAAGGGCTTTTCGGGACCTGGTTTGGCTGTGTCCCCAGTGCACGGATGCAGTGTGTCAGGCACTGCCTGGCTGTGAGGACACCATCCAGGACAGTGAGGTAAGGTGGCTTTGTGCCCTGGGCTGGTAGCTCTTGAGGATGGGTAGACAATGACTCTTTGTCCTCTGGGCTCGAGATTGGTGGGCAAAGATCAGAAACCTTCAGAAGATGTGTTCTCAAGTATGTTTGTTTCAGGTCAACTCTGTCTTTCTGGTGCACAGCACCTATTTGCTGGTTTTTTTCTGTGTGGTTCCTTCAGGGCAAGCAAGCGTTGATCTGGCTCCTGGGCACCCACGGTGAGAAAGTACCAAATGCTCCCTATGTTTTAGAGGACTTTGTGGAGAATGTGAAATCAGAGATGTTTCCAGCAGTGAAGATGGAGCTTCTGACAGCGCTGGTGCGCCTCTTCCTGTCCCGTCCTGCTGAGTGTCAGGACACGCTAGGGAGGCTGCTCTACTTCTGCATAGGTGGGTTCCCTTCATTCTCTTTCCCCAAAGCTGTAGTACAGGCTTTCTGGGACCTGGTTTGGCTGTGTTCTCAGTGCATGGATGCCGTGTGTCAGTGTCCTAGTTGCGAGGAAACCATCGTGGGTGGCAAGGGAAAGTGGCTTTATGCCTTAGGCTTCTACTTGGCCCCTAGGTGTCTGGTTGATGAGTGCAGCAGGCTTACACTGTATCCCTGAGAGTCCATTTTTAATGATGAAAGGTTAGTACTTCAAGGAAATCTGGATGATAGAATTCTCCATAAAGTATGTCTCTCTGATTCCCAGAGGAGGAGACGGATATGGCCGTACGAGACCGTGGATTGTTCTACTATCGCCTTTTGCAGTCTGGTGTGGAGCAAGTGAAACGGGTCCTGTGCAGCCCCAAGTCTGATCCCTCCCTGGGCCTTCTGGAAGATAAAACTGAGCAACCCGTGAATGCGTGGGCTTCAGAGTTTAATACTCTTGCACCGGTTTATGGCAGAGAACGCTGGGCACTTATCACTGCTCACCAGCCAGCAGAACCCTCTTACACTTGTTCTCCTCGTATTGACTCCAGCAACAGAGACACAGGTAACTCACTCCATCTGGGAGCTGGTTTCCACTTGTAGATGTTCTAGTGTGGGTTTAATACCTGGAAGAAGATCACAGTGCTTTGAGAATGCTGACTTAGTGTTCTGACTATCCTGTGCAATGTGTGGCTGGTCACCACTTCACTGGGCCAGAGGATGCTGCTGGAGGCAGTTGCTGTGATCCCAGCCACCTTGGTGGCTGCATAAGATGTTCTTTGTTAAACTGGGAGCTGCACCTTGGATGCTGCATCTCACATATTTATGGTTTCATTTCAGAGTCACTGATTTCTGAAGAGGATAAAGAAGTCCTCAAGGTCCATCCTGACACAGGCAGCCTGACCTTAGTTCCTGATGTTCACCTGACTGCAGAACAGTTTGAGAAGACCTGGCTGAGCTTGGATACAAACTGGCACCTTTCTCTGCCCTGGTGTGGGGCAGTTCATCCGGATACCATACAGACAGCTCTTCACGTTGTCCACATCCAGACTATTGCTATGAGCAAAGCTGGTGTCCAGCCATGGAAAGCTTATCTCAGTGCTCAGGATGACACAGGTTGCCTCTTCCTAACAGAGCTCTTGCTCGAGGCAGCAGATTCGGAGATGCAGGTTTCAGTGAAGCAGAGTGAGGCAAAGCCAGAGGCAATGCAGGCCTTTATTTCGGCATTAAAGACAGTCATGGGGACAGTTGCTGGGCTGGAGTCCTGACTGGTCCCTGCTCCTAGTAGGATGCTTGCTCAGGGCATGGGGAAAGTTTATTTCTCTGGCTTTATTTGCCATACTTGATGCTGGTTTTGCACTTTAAAGCTGTGAGAGTGTTTGCTGCCCTTTCCTGGGCTTGGACAGCACGTGTGGTGAGGCGGTCACTGCAGTGGAGCAGGGGGAAGGGTCTGTCCTCCCTCTGGGGTGGGGAAGGGACAAGGTGATGCATTTGTGAGCCTGCTGCTTCTGGTCTGAATCACAGAAGTGGTGTCTGCGGTGCTTGTCACAAGGCACTGAGGTGGCTGACGGAGCCAGAGACGAGCAAGATTCAGGGATGTGTTTTGGAGAGTTTTTTTCTTGAGAATCGTAAATGATTCAAGAAAAGAGTTCTGAGACTCCAGGATGCAGCCGCTTGTCTCGCATTAAGAGGAACAGTGCAGTGAAGAAAGAAGTATTTAGTTCTTGGCTCCCTTTCCAAGGGATTTCAATAGTAGCTTCTCTACCAGTGATTCTTGTTCTGCTGTGTCAGAGATGGGTGGACAAGGTACATTGGCCTCAAGAAATGTTACCTATTTCTTTTTCAAGAGAAAGAAGTGTATTTTCTCATTGGAATGTGTTGCTGGGGTCACGAATCACCCTATCTGAAGTCCCCCCCTCAGCTCCCTGTGGCCAGGGTGACTGTGAGAAAACACAGAGTGTGCAGGTCTTGTATGATGTGTTCATGTGTGTTGCAGCCTACATCCCTTTGGCCACGTTACTGAGCTGTTGGTCCTCACACTGACACAAATAATGGAAGAATTGCTCTTTAGAGAATTAACTGTATGGAATATTACCTTTTGGTTGGAGGTACTTCTGTCCAGTACTGTCATCCTGTCCCCACAGTGGTGTACATGAGACATTGCAGTGCTACATGTCTGAATTCTGCCAGTTTTTAAAGTCACAGTCTGACTTTGCTTTGAAGAGCATCACTCCGTCTGCTCTGCTGAGAGCTGGCCTTCGCACAGTGTCAGGGAGAGTGTATGTGTCCCAGCCTCGTTTGACACAGTGGCAAAACCCTGAAGAAGGCTTAAAGCTGAGGTGCATCGGTTGCTATAACATCGCTTTATGGTACTCTGTAAGGAGTGGCTTTGTTAACCCTATTCTGTAAGATTTCTTGTCACTTTTAATGACTGCCCATGGCAGGGGAGGGTGGAACAAGATGATCTTTAAGGTCCCTTTGAACCAAACCCCATTTTGTGATTCTGTGACTGTTGTACCTTTAAACTGCAATTTGCATTCCCATGCACTGAAACGCTGCTGTCACTGTTAAACAACAGGCTGTAGATTCAATTTCTCATTGTCCTAATAAAAAACGTGACTCATTCCTGGCTTGTGCTGCTGCTGTCCTGAGCGTGGTGACTGCCCCAGCACCCAGGGCTGCAGGTGCCTGAAGGAGAGGAACTGGCTGAGGGATGGGGGTTGGATCAGGAAGTGATGCCTCCAGATCAAGTTACCAACCACTTCATGTTGAAAGATCCTGCTTTCAGTTCCTTATGAATTTGTCAAAGGTGGAAATGGTTTTGCTGAAACTTCCAGTGTTGGGTGGCTCCTTTTGGTAGAACCTGGTTTTGGTAATACTCAGCAAACACAAGTGATACTCTGCTGTTTCAACTCAGGATGCTCTAAGGGGAACATGCTTTAATTGAGGTGCTTCCCCCACCTTAAGTAGTTTAGCTGAGAAGCTGAGGGAGTGCAGGTGTTATGTTGCCATCCCATTGATGCTGCCCTCACTGAGTCAGGAAAGAGGTGAGATGTTTTCCCACTGCTCTGACCTTCCTTCCTTGCTTCCAGCAGCATGGGAGGAAGGAACTGCTGGAACCCAGAGGGGTAAAAAAAAAGGGATGCTCTTGGAGAAAACGGTAGCAGGGATGAGCTGAGATTTCAGCATGAAGCCACTGGGGTGAGAGGAAAGAGACCTGGACAAACTCAGGCTCATCTGGTCCAACATTTCCAGGCAAAGCATGACCTAGACTTGATGTCCCAGCACCCTGTCCAGCCAGAGTTTAACAGTGTCCAATGTTGGGGAATCCACCACTTCCCTGGGGAGATTATTCCAATGGGTGGTTGTTCTCAGTGGGGAAAACTTTCCTCTTGAGTCCAGTCAGAATCACCCCAGGAGTAACTCGTGCCCATCACCCCTTGTCTTTTCCATGGGACTCCTTGTCAAAAGGGAGTCTCTGTTGCCTTTGTAGCCACCCTTTAAATACTGGCACATGGTGACAAGGTCCCCCCGAGCCTTCCCCAGACTGAAAAGATCCAGCTCCAGCTCCCAGCCTTTCCTCCCACAGCTTCCCAGACCTTGGCTCATCTTTGTGGCCCTTGTCTGGACCCTCTTGAACCTGTCCACATCTTTTTTTGTATAGCAGTTGTGCAGCTCAAGTGAGTAACATGTGCAAGCCAGGTTCAGGTGCTCAGCATCTCCCTGATGTATTCTTCCACTATTCTGCAGTTCATGTGGAAAGCAGGGTAATTTGTAAGCGCAAAGGGGAGCTGTGGATTTTGCATGCTGGTTTGGGGACTCTTCTTGTTGCAGCATGTTCTAAGTCTGAAGCCTGGCAGTGAAGCGCAGACCCCAGGGCCTGGATGCTGCTGGTGATGGCTGGACATAGTCCTTAGAGAACTGGGATGCTGGGGTGCGTGGCTCTGGTCTCCACCATCTGACCACCTTGGTGGCACAGCTCCGGGCTGCCCCCCCTCCCTTGCTGTGATGCTCACATGAAGCGCGTCTGCTTTTAAAAGGAGGGCCCCAGGTTGTGTGTTGCTCTTTGCTATTTGGCCACGGTATCTGTTACGTACTAATTTCCCTTCAGCCTTGTGCTGAAGTTGGTAAACCACAGCCTGCCGCCAGGGCTCTCCGGGCTGGTGCTTTCCGCTGCCGTGCGCTCTTGACATGTCTGTTCCCAGCTGGGACAGCTCGGTCGTGCTCAGTCTCCGGCAACATGGACCAAAGGGAGATTGTGCTGCAAAACCTGGAAAGGGCACAAAGCAAGAAGCTCAACCGAGAGAAGTTTGCCGAGGAGTTTTCGGTGAGTTCGCCTCGGGCACAGGTTTGTTTCAGTTGGCTCTAAAGGGAACTGCTCAGTCGCTGCTCAAGCGGGGATGTGATTTGCATGTGACAATAAGACTTCTATGAATTTCGCAGCACAAAGAGCCACGGGAGGTAACTGGGGTGAAAGGGATGTAAAGACATGAGAGCAATTGAATAGTTTGCTTTTTACACAATTACCTGAGTGCTTCCTGTTTTCTCCCTTGTGAATGTGCTGCTCAGGACAGTTTCACTTTGCCTGGTAGTGGAACTGGGGATATAGTGAGGAATACGGAGGTGCTGCCCCTTCTCCCCACTGCAATCTGTGATACCCTTCTTCCTGTCAGGGATCTCCAGCTCGCACTTGTCGTAGCTTTTCCCTCTTTCCTTTCATCTGTGCCACCTGCAGAGTGCAGCGGGTGTTCAGAGGAACACCCTGTGAGCCTGAGGTTGTCCCACCTCTCACTGGTACTGGGTGCCTTGGCTAAGGCGTGAGTAGGCTGCAGCCTGAGCCCCTGGATGGGCTGTTTCCCCAGCGCTGCGCTGGCTGTGTGGCAGGGCTCATGCATGCATCCTCAATGGGTGCGTGTGCCTGACATCCACCAGTGCCCCTCTCAGAAACTGATTTCTTGTTCCCTCAGTGCAAAACTAGCAGAAAATGCCGATGGTTCTCACCCTCCCCTGCATTCTGCAGTGTCATAGAATCATAGAATAGTTAGGGTTGGAAAGGACCTTAAGATCATCCAGTTCCAACCCCCCCACCATGGGCAGGGACACCTCACACTAAACCATCTCACCCAAGGCTTTGTCCAACCTGGTCTTGAACGCTGCCAGGGATGAAGCATTCACAACCTCCCTGGGCAACCCATTCCAGTGCCTCACCACCCTAACAGGAAAGATTTTCCTCCTTAGATCCAATCTAAACTTCCCCTGTTTAAGTCCAGTTGGCTGAGATCAGTGCAGTGCGCTGATCTGTGAGCTCTCTGACATCTTTGGGTGGCAAACCACTGTCCCCCAGTTAAAGCTGGTGACTGGTGCTGGCTGTTGGAGGAAGGTTGCTTGGCAGGCTGGCTGAGCTGCTCTGACAAGCAAAGGCATTGCCCATCTTTAGCAGACGTAGGGAAGGGTAAAACTGGTCCATTTGTAAGATCTGAGCTGTCTCAAACACCAGAATAACCACTGGCTCCGAGCTGCCCCCCTGACAAGGGCTGCATCAGGCAGTGGTCCCCGGGGAAGGTGCAGAGGTTACTTAGTTCTCACAAGATCCAGCCCTGCTTTGTCATAGCAGCGAAGGCTGGCACTTCAAAGACTTGGGAAAAGCTTAGTGCTTGGTTTCCAGGTGTCTGGGCTGGAGGGAAGTGGTTCATCTGAGCTTGCAATGACAGGCTGTTGTTCCATGGAACAAAGTGCTGTCACAGGTTGCTGAATTTCCCCCTCTTGCTGCTGTGCTTAGGGCTGGGCTGTGCAGGCTGCCGGGCCCTCAGGCATGGGCTAGTTCTAGCAGCCACATGTACAGCTAATTTCCTGACCAAAAAGGAAGGTGGAAATAGTCAAGGCTGCATTTCCCCTTGTACTGGGAAGAGATCCCTCCAGGGTGACCTGAGCTGCTACCACTTTGGCAAGCACAGAAGCCTTAACAGGCAGCGGCAATGACTTGCTTTTCCCAACTGGGTGGTGGGAAAGGGAGATTTGCCCTATAGTTGTAGAGACACCAATTAGAGAAACATCCCTTTGTTGTAAATCAAAAGCACCCCTTGGTGACAGAAAAGTGGTGAGGTAGACAGAATATTATGAAAGAAAAAACACAGCAAGGATGGTGCTTTTGAAGTTGCTGCTAACAAACAGTGCCTTATTTAGAAGCTGATGCCAGTGAAATAAAACTCGATGCTTTGGCAGGAAAAAAGATGCTTGAACTCTCCAAAAGCACTGCAGCAGTATCTTGGAAATGAAAGAGATGAGGGATTCCTACCCCTAAAGGTCTATCCTAGGACTCCTCATTTCTTTTTCATCAGTGCCCATAGCTGCTTTGCTCTGTGCTCTTTAGTAGCTTGAGCATTTCTGCTTGCAGCTACAGACGGGAGCATCTTCACCAAAGGGAGAAAAATCATTTGATTTATCTGTCTTTTCTGATGCCATTTGTTAAAGGTGGTTTAACATTGCTGCTCCTCTTATCTGGGTGCCATTTATACCGAGAATGATTCCCCTGTGTCTCACTTATTTGTGAGGGCGATGCTTTATGTGCTGGATAAATGCATCATTATTTCACTTCAGAAGCCTACGTGCCTGAGCCTCATGGAGGCACTGCCTCAGCACACAATTTCCATTGCTCAGAAGCCTGTGCTGGGACTCTCCGGTGGCTTCTGTCTCTATTTTTGCTCTGAGTACCTTGTGAAAAGCCACTTAGGAAAGAATTAATGGTGCACACTTGCTTTGTGTCACCGAACCTGACCCCTGTACGCTCAAGTAGTGTGTTGTATGTAGCACATCTGCTGTAATTTGTTCCCTTCTTTCATCACAGAAGCTGAAAAGGCAGTCAACAAAGTACAGATCAGATAAAATCTACCCTACAGCAGCATCTGAGCAACCAGAGAACATCAAGAAGAACAGATACAAGGATATCTTACCCTGTAGGTTGGAGTATGTTCTTATTCAGC